GGCAAAGTAAATAATTTTTATCTCTTGATATTTTTCGGTAAAGTTGATAGAATTCAAGTAAAAAATTATTGAATCCAATAATTTTGTAGATATTTACGTAAATATCTTAGAAAATAGAGGTCGTATAAAAATTTTTTTCAAACAAAAGTTGTTTGCTTTTTAACGCAGGATAAAAAGCCATAATAAAAAATATGTATTTCTGTCTAAGAAAGCAAAGTTGACTTTTTTTTTTTTTTTTTCAGGCAGAGGAAATGCATTATGCACACCCCCGGGAAATCGGGATTTTCCCAGGGGTAGTGTGGGACTCTGCCCCTCCGGAACTAACGGCCAGAGGGGGCCTACCCACTAAAACCTCTGCCGGGCCCCATGCGGCTGTTGCGAGGGCGTCCCGGGAACCGCTTGCGCATTACTTCCGGGACGCCCTCATCCGCGGGGCTGGGAAAAACCTAAACCCCGCCCCCTTCCCGGGCCGGGAGGGATAATCCCCTCCCGGCCCGCTGTTCCTATCCTCCATGACCGGACGTGGGCCCCCCCGTCCGGTCACATCTCACCTGTAGGGGCGCTATTGGTCGGGTCCGGTCCCGTCCGGACCCGGCCCGCCCCTACGCTCCCGACCGAGGTTGCTGGGGCGGAGAGGTCTAAGTGTTCCCCTCCGCCCCTCCCGGTCAGGAGCCTCCTGGCACTGGGAGGGGGGTGGGCGGTCTAAGAGTCTGCCCTTGCAAACCGGCCGCTCTGCCGCCCTCCCGGAGGCTCCTGGTCTGTTTTCTTGTCACGGGGGGGAGGCGCGCCTTGCTGCGCGTCTCCCCCGCCCGACCAAGCGCCCCCTGTCTCCCCCTCGCTGGGCCCTCCGTTGGTCAGAAGGGCCCGGCGGTAATGTAGGGGGCTGCGGCGCACGCGCAGGTACCCCGGGGAAGGGGACGCCAGCGGTGGCGTTCCCTCTCCGCCCGCGAGGGCGCCGTCCCTCGACCCCGCGCTGATGCGCGGGCAGGCGAGGCGCTGCTCTCCTTCTGCGGTGCCTCGCCCCATCCCGGGGGGCGGCGGTTTCACCCCGCCGCACCCTCTCCGACTCCTCCTTCTGTGACACGACTACGTCACAGAAGGAGGTGACGGCAGACCAGCCCTCGTCTCCCCCAAGCATGGACCTTATGAGGGTCGGGGGAGAGAGGTCCGCTCCCACCACGTCAATCAGGACTCGGCGCTCCACATCCCAGGGGGGGCATTCCTCCAGGGTGTGTTGCGCCGAGTCCACCTCAGCGCCACAGTGGTGGCAGCGAGAGTTAGGCTCCTTACCAATCCTGTGCAGGTACTCACCGAAGCATCCATGTCCGGTGAGTACCTGCGTTGTCCGGAAGGACAGCTCTTCGCGGACCCTGTCTACCCATTCTTGTAGACAGGGCCGGATGGCCTCGGCGACCCTCGTTTCTGAGTGGCCCGTCGCCTCCTCCAGGTGGATGCTCCACGTTAGGAGGAGGCGTTAACGGGCCTGCAATTTTGCTGCACCTATGGCCCCGGCCAGATGTTCAAGGTCTCCCCCGGCACGGAGCTCCTTGACACGCCGATAGTTCTCGGCGTGCATTTGTGCAAGGAGCTCCAGCGGGGGGAGACCGGCCAGGGCCGTGGCGGCCATATGCGACGCCGTCCTATAGGCCCGGGCGAGGCGAATGGCGACCCACCGCTGAGCGCGGTGAGCCAGCGCAATTATGCGCTGGTTGGTCGCCATCGCACTCGCCCAGACCGGGGCCCCATATAGGGCCATGGACTGGACGACGCCGGCATACAGCCGCCTTGCTTTTCTTTTAGGGCCGCCGAGATTAGCCAGGAGGCCACCCAACATATTGGCCACCCTGCCCAACTTGGGGGCCAGAAGCTCAAAGTGCTTCTGAAACCCCCAGTTACCATCCAAGACGAGTCTCAAATATTTGATTGTGGGACCCGTCTTCACGGAGACACCGTCGATCCGGACTCGGGCCCCAGGTGGTCCCCTCCTCCTCGAGCCATCATGTATGAACATGAGTTCCGACTTGAGGGGAGCCACCTTGAGGCCCATCCCGTTCAGGGAGCCTACCACCTGGTCTACCGCCAGTCGTCCCTTCTCCAGGGCGCTCCGCCAGCCCCTGCCCCCGGCCAGCACCATCGTGTCGTCTGCTACGCAGACGACGCTGCAGCCGGGGGGGAAGGCAAGGCGGAGGACTTGGTATGTTCCATAGTAGGGGTCCTAGTACGGACCCCTGAGGAACACCGCGGTAGACCACCCTTCCGCACTGGAGTTCCGCTTTGTTGCGGAACTCCAGTCTTCAGCAAAGTTGACCTTGTCCTAACCTTGGCGACGTCATCTTAGGTCAAATAACTACTGTCATTAAATGCGACTTTTTAAGCCTTACAACTTTTATTCGAAACATTTTTCTCTAAAATGCTCCCCCGCCGAGTTTTCTTGCCGTTGCCGAACTTATGGGACACATTGTATATATATATATATATATATATATATATATATATATAATTTGGACTCAAGGATCGGTCTAAGTATGAAAGGTAGATTCGCCGCGTACGTTAATCGAAGAAAAATTTCGATACGTGCGTTTGACATGCTGGACATAATCATCCTCCCACTATTATATTAATATTATATAATATTAGTATTTAATAGCACTAAGACATCTGTTCTGTACTCCTTATTTGCCTCTTCAATTCTTACTGTTAGTTATTCTAAAAAGGAGCTTTCTATAATTTCTGTTTACAAATATATTAATTTTTTAATATATACTAAATATATATTTCATTGCAAACAATGCAAAATATGTATCTATATTCGTGTTTGCGTTAAATAAGCTTGACACTTTCCTAATTATTCCTGATTGATAGCATAAAAATGAGACATATGCAAAACAAATGTATCATATTCGAAAAATATTAATTACATATTTTAAGATAAGAAAAAAAACATCGCACAAGAAAACTCATCGCCGGGATTTGAACGCTTGCTGCCGGCTCAAAAATATTTGACGTGGAAGCCTCAGTCTGCTCAGCAATGCCGTCTCGCTGAAAGAGAGTTGCATCTTTAGTCATATTTGGGATACAGTCCCACAACCCAAACTTTATACTGTAATTTCTCACAAACAAAAGCCTATTGGCACAAATCCAAATTAAGATGTTGATGCTTAATATTGTAGTTAGCGAACGTGCTATGTCTCGTTCAGCAATCGATTTAGCAGGTTGTGGCATCTCTTTGTAAGTGTAAAAGTGTAAAAAGTTCAATTAATGCGAATATTATTATTAATATTATTGGATATTAGCTTTCAGACACTTACATCTTTCAGACACTTACATCTTTAAACATCCTAAAAATATTCTGACAATTTCTCCGTCCTAAAAGCGTCTTCAGAACATATTTTAAAAAATTTGTGTTGTTTGGGGTGCACTAGTGTCTAACGGGCATTAGGTGTAAAAGTATGAATAGTACGAGCAACTCGAACAAACCTAATTTCTGATAAATTTTTCCACCAGGGTCAGGAAAAACAAGAAAAATTAATTTGCGACTGCTCCGTAACAGTGTGCGGCAGGCCTGCTTTGTTGACTGTTGACTAAAGCCAGCGGCACATGATGCTTGTTTTTGTGCTGAATTGCTTGCTGGATGGAAATACTTTGATTGATGCATTTCCATCCATCTTGAAAGATGCACCAATCAGAACAGAATATTTCCACTCAGCAAGCAGATCAGCACGAAAACAAGTATCGTGTGTCGCTGGGTTAACGTATGGTCATAAAATGGTGAACAGGAGTCATGGTGGGGGGTCATTGGCGCATCTTTGATCATAGGTCTCTAGTTTGAACGCGCTGTCCTTCGAGAAATTAAATGAGAGTTGAAATGCTCGGACATGAATGACCTATGAGTTTATTTTGAGGATTAATTATAAAAATTCGTATCTTATATTCCATTCATTCTTTTAAACTATAGTCGTTTACTTAATTCTTAAGAAAAGTAACGCTTGTTGTCTTTTTGCAGATTCTTACCATCGCCGGCTTGTCACGTACGCCGTTTTATCTCAAAGATGACCAGAATGATAGAATTTAGGGATTTGGGAATAAACATGAAGGATCTAACACCTGCAGCGAAATTGGCGTTAGACACCAATGAGGACACCAATCAGACACTAATGGCAGATGTCGATGATGTGGATTATACGGATTTTCGGTTTGAGTCCGCGAGATTGGGTAGTTACACCAATTGGCTTTTATCGTATATAGAACCTAAGACACTTGCAGCCGCCGGTTTTTATTATACTGGTCAAGAGGATGTGGTGAGATGCTTTGAATGTCGCCTGACATTGCGTAAATGGTCGCAAAATGACAATCCTTGGGTGGATCATCAACGATTTTCCGATAACTGTAGATTCCTCCGCGGTATACCTTGCGGTAATGTACCAATTGATGTTGATCCCGATACGATACCGCAAGTACAATCCAGGAGTCGTGACTTTTGCGGCGTGTACGGGATACAATATCGACCTAATGCCGTTGTCGATGTTCCTATTAAAGTCTATTTCGAGAATACGGAGACCTCGAATACGATTAGTCTCGGCGAGTTACAAGGTGCAAAGTATCCCGAATATGCCAACATTAGCAACAGAATATTCACTTTTGAAACGTGGCCGAAGACAAAAGTCCAAACGAAGGAACAGTTAGCAGACGCTGGTTTTTATTATACCAAGAAAGAGGATCGGACGATCTGTTATTATTGCGGAGGAGGTTTGGAGGGCTGGGAACCAAACGATGTGCCTTTGCAAGAGCATATAAAATGGTTTTCGAAATGTAAATATGCTTTGAAACGTGAAACTGAAAAAACTAATTCGTTTACGTCATCACATACATGATATAACAAGGGTAAGATAAGACACTACGTTTTTTGTCCGAAAGTCGCATTAACCCTTTCAGTGCATGAAGCGCGGAAACCATAGACTTCTATATAATTACTAGACTGCTAACTTCCTTATACAGTGCAATGTAAAATTGACCCCGAAAAGTATGTATTATGCACGGGAAAAAAGACATCTGCGCATGTCTGAAACTGGTGGTCCAGAAGAAGAGGAGATATAAACGTAATATGCCGATGCAGTCTACTTATTTAAATATTTGTGTAAATACAGAGTAAAAAATATCAGAGTGAAATACGTTACAGTAAAAAATTTGTAGAAATAAGTAATTGATCAATTGTATACCCACATTAGAGTGCAATAATGCTTAAAACGAGATGCTACATTATGAATGTTGGACTAGTAGATAAGCGCATGTGCGAGATTTCGGGTGTATATCAGTTGGACACAGTCCAATCACAAGTCGCTGTTCCAAGGGACCCTACAAATGTCTCTAATCACACGGTGCTGTGATTGGCTGTGTCCAAATACATCGTGTCCAAGTGCACCGCTCCCCGAGATTTCTGTACATATTTTTTAGGATTATGTGCTGAGTCGGAGCAGCAGTCTCATCGAATGGACTGCACTACGCAAATTGAAAGTAATAGCGTGTTCGACTGGCCCTAGGTTAATCGCTTCGAGAGCAATTAATGTCATAAGTCTCTACTAGCCAATCATAAAGCTTATAAGTACTTGTTCGACCAATAAACGTAGGCTGAATAACCCAGAGTGGGTTAACTCAGAGTCAGTCGAACATGCTATAAGTTGCAGTATGGGACAAGGACAGTACGAATTCGCGGCCAATATCTGTCTTTTTTTTTGTCAGTGCTAATTATATTCATCAGATAGAGACAGGAGTAAAACGCGACCACTTGCTATCTCATTCACTCTCTGGACTCTGTTTCATATACGAACAAGTAAGGCAGAGCTCGGAATTAGTTGCCCATTTTGGCTGATTCTCAAGAGCTACGCCTTCTATCTTCCCTTTGCCGCGAGCAAGCCACGTAAGTGACGGCTCCTGCCCACAGGACGCGGCAACGCTTTCCGCGCGGCGGAAGTTTGTGCGACAGCTATCAATATGTTGCTTTCCGTAATAACCTTGTTCCGCTCTCACGGAAAAACAACATATTGATTGGCTGTTGCGCGAACTTCCGCCGCGCGGCAAGCGTTGCCGCGTCCTATGGGCAGGAGCCATGACAGTCGCGGCTCCAAGCATGATGCCGCGATTGTCACTTACGTAGCTCGCTCGCGGCAAGGGGAAGATAGAAGGCGTAGCTCCTGAGAATCGGCTGCTATGGCTAAAATGAGCAACTAATTCCGAGCTCTGAAGTAAAGGATAGCGCAGTCTACCAGGTGTAGAAGTATGAAACCGGAATTTTTTTATACAAATAAGACGTCTGTTGTTCGAAAGTGATAAATAATACTTTATTCAAAATAATTTCCACTGTTTTGAACACATTTTTCCCACCTCTCTGGCAGTTTATGAATGCCGTGCCAAAAAAACTTTTCATCTTTTGAAGCGAACCAGTTATCTAGCCATTTTTCCACATTTTCATACGAATCGAAGCGTTGGTTAGCGAGAGCGTGTCCTAGCGATGCGAACAGGTGATAATCGGACGGAGCCAAGTCTGGAGAATAAGCCGCATGCGGTAGTAATTCCCAACTGAACGACTCGATCGTTTCCTTGACCCGTTTTGCTGTATGTGATGGGGCATTATCATGGAGCAAAATGACATTGTGTTGCCTTTTTGCATATTCTGGTCGTTTTTTAGTCAATGTTCGATTTAAATCGATCATTTGTTGTTGGTAGCGATTAGTATTGACGGTTTGACCAGGTTTCAGCAGTTCATAGTTCATAGTTCATAGTTCATAGTTCTTCGTTCCTCACGTCAAAATCACCACTTTTGAATTTTTTAAACCACTCGAAACACTGAGATTTACCAAGAGCATATTCACCGTAAGCTTCGACAAGCATTCGATGTGATTCTGCAGCAGTTTTCTTTAAATGATAACAGAAAATCAATGCTGTCCGCAAATCATAGTTAGTAGGCTCGAAACGTGACATGTTTAAGGTTATACAAAAATATACTAGAGAATGAAAGTTGGGGTTATGTTTGTTGACAATATTCGTCAGCTGTTAGGAGAATATAATAGCGCGGCAGTAGCGGTCTTACGGTCACTAAACTGAACGCTGGCACCATTTATAGGGGAATTCCGGTTTCATACTTCTACACCTGGTATATTATAAGTCGATGAGCACAGTCTAATATATAGAAGTCTGTGGCGGAAACGCGAAAGATAAAATTCTACTAGATCTCGCGTCCCGCGTCTGTTTTGATTGCCTTATATTATATGAGGCATATTTTCAGTGAAAAAGCGGTATGGGGAATTATAAAATATTAATTTTTAACGGTATTCATTAATTGAAATGCTTATATTCAACATATCAGTTGAAAAGATAAATATATTAATAAAAATTGCAACAAATTATAAATAAACACAATTTTAAGAAATGAATATAGATATCTATTTGTTACCAAACTGTTCCGCTTTTCCGCGTGAATTGTGTTCCATGTAATATAAGGAGAAATAAATTCGCGGGAACGGAGAATCTAGTACTATTCTCTTCCGCGCTTTTGCATTTTCGCGTTGCATGTAACTGGCACTTTCACTACGGAGAGCAAAATCACTAAGTAGGCAAAAAATGTGCAAGGCGTTTTATCCATAGACATAGTAAAAATAATAGACATAATATATCTAGACCGAGCGTTTGCTTTTATTTGAGGAGTGGGGGTAAGATCACAAAGAAAAAGATGCATTGCGTTTTGAGGGGTGGGACCCGATTGACCACGATACGATTGGACACAGATTGTAATGATTGGTTCGACCTAGTAATTTACTAGATAATTCTTTTCATCGGTTGATTGTGTCCAATCGTACCGTGGTCAATTGGGACGCTCCCCGTTTTGATACTCTGCGTTCTCTCTCATTCGCGCATGTGTACAAGCGTATGCGTAAGAGTGTGTTCAGATTCTTCATCCGGGTGCACTCTATTACTAGAAACACTATAGTATATGTTACATATACTATAGCACTTCTAGTAATAGAATACACCCGGGTGTGGAATCTGAACGCAGCCTAAGAAACGTTGTGTTACAGAGATGTGCGAATGAGAGAGAACGTAAATCAAAATAGTCTCAAAATGCAATGCATCCTTTTCTACGTGCCTTTTACCCCCATTCCTCAACGCTCGGTCTAGATATATTATGTCTATGGTAAAAATAGACCGAGCATTCGCCTCTTTTTGAGGAATAGAGCACAGAAAAGGATAGAAAAAGACAAACGACAACGACTGTATCTTCTTCTCTTTCTATGCGTCTGCGCAGTAAGATAAGTGACGTCTATGGGTGAGACCCGTTTGACCACGATACGATTGGACACAGATTGTAATGATTGGTTCGACCTAGTAATTCACTAGATAATTCTTTTCATCGGTTGGTTGTGTCCAATCGTACCGTGGTCAATCGGGACGTTCCCGTTCAGAGAGAATCTAGACAAAGTGGAGCGGATTCGTCGAAAGTCCGGCATTATTTGGGCAACTTTTCGTGACGTACGAGAAATTTAATCTCCTTAAACTTTAGATTCCGATTACTATATGTATATACACCTATTTAAATTACTATATATTATAAAATATAGTTAAAAAATAAACTATTTATTCTTGTACATTGCTGGAATTATTCACTCACAATAATATTTCAATAATATTTTGCGAATATAATGTTATAGTGTTACAAATTGATATCAAAGTGTTAGTAATACAATAAAAGAAAATGTGTTTTTATTTTAACTTTTATTTAGTCATAAATTTATGAAGTGTGTAGTTATTTATGCACAATGTATAAATATATGTAATACGAAATTGAATAAAGAGTGAGCGTGGCATAGCATAAGTTCGTTTCCCAACAGTGTTAAAAATTGTGTGCAATCTGTTGTCTCTCTGTCACAGATATTGTGTGCTAACAGACTCTGCACAAAATCTGCTAAAAAAAATATATATATATACAGGGTGCCCTACTGAAAAATTTCTATTGAGATCACAATTGAATTCCCAATTGAATTCCCAATTAAATTCTCAATTGAATTCTCAGTTGAGGTTTCCGCAAAATTTCGCATGTAAGATCTCAATTGAGATATTTGTATCTGATGGAAATAATTCATTGAAAATATAATGAACTTTTGCTGAAATATGTTTGAAAAGCATTCACAATTTTGACCCAATTTCATTAAAATTTCATTATAATTTCATTAATATTTCGATAATATTTTATTAAGAGAGTAGAAAAATTCAGTGAAAAATTATTATTAATTA